AGAAACAATGTGATATCATTTCTCATCTTCGCAGATTTTGCTGGAGGAAAGAATTTGGTCAAGAACTTCTGTGCTAATTCATTCAAAGTTGTGATCGTTCCTGGTGGTAGTGCCATTAACCATCTTTGCTTTATCCTTTAATGAAAAAGGGAACAATCTCAATCTGATGGTGTCATCGACACTCCATTTGACTTGGAGGTATCGCAGATCTCTAAAAAGTTTGCAATGTGCAGATTTGGATCTTCCTTCAAATCTCCCTTAAACTGTATCGACTATTGGATCATCTGGATGATTGCCGGCTTTATTTCGAAGGTGTAGGCTTGTACTGGGTCTAGTTATACTTGAACAACTGCCATCAATCGTGGGAACTGAGAATTCCCTCAATGTTCTATTTTTGGCCATCTCAACAACTATCGCCTCTCGTTCTCTTCTCTCTTTGTTATGTCTTCTTGCGGTTCTTTCAATATCTGAATCAACAAGAACCACTGGCTGACATCTACCTCTTCGCATAAACTACACAGAAAGAGAGAAAACATGAGATCAGAAGCTAATAGAAAAGAACAACAAAAATTAAACTATAAAACAATTAAAACAAAAATTAAACCCCAATCTAGCTAACACAAGAAAATTTCAATGTTAACACAAAATCGATCCTTAGCAATGGCGCCAAAAACTTGATGCGTTGTAACTACAACATGCAATGTATAGCAAGTGCACTAGTCGCACAAAGTAATAAAGTGATAAGAAAAGTATCGTTCCCACGAGGATTGTTTGTTAAGCACTGATTTTCCTTGTTGTTTGTCAAGTTGGGGAAATCGAAAAATGTTGGATTGGTGGGAAAAATTAAGCTAAAATGAAAACAAAATTTACTATGTACTTAAAAGGCTAATTAATGATAGTAAAACTAATTCGAGAGAAAATATCAATTAAAGCAAACGGTTAGGGTTTTGACTTCATTAGGCCTCTATGATTTAATCTACAAATTATGCTACTTCTACACTCACATGCACAGATTATAAATCGAACTCCCTAAGGTGTAAAACATACCTTCTCAGGCTATGTTTTCCTACTTTTCCCTATTAAGCTTCCGCACCCAACAATTTAAAGATTAATAGATCTAAGTTCATTAAGCTAAAGGAATCCTAAATTGATTTCATTGATTCTGAAACCTATCTCTAACATTCGATACAACAATGGTGATTATCCTAAGAAGCTCATACATGATTCATTTCTCAATCTCATCATGTTCAACAAATAAATTCAATAAAAACAAGAATAATCACACAATCCATGCAATCGAATGTAAAAGCAACAATAATCTATTGATTAACCATAGAAATCCTAATTACGTCAAAACCCTAACCCAAAGTGAGTTAGTTCATAATGAAATTAACACAAATCGCAATAAAAACAGTAAACACAGCATTCAACATGTTGGAATGAAGAAGAGAACAAAAATCTTCTCTATTTGATGAATCCCAAAGAGTTCAATCTCAAATCAACCTCAAATCCTCTCTCCTTTCTCCCAAAATGTCGAACTCCTCTAAAAATGGCTAAGTCTTTCTTATATAGTCGGTCAAAAAACCTAAAAAATTTTCTAAAATAAAACTGTGTATTTTGATAAAACTGGAAATCACAGACTTCGTCGCATCGAAGAATAAACGTTGCCGTGGTAACGAATTCTCGAGAGTTTATCGCCGCGGCGAACTGTTCTGAACCATTCTTGAAATTACGAAATTACCCTCCGCTTGCTTCCTTACTTGAATCTTTAATCTTTGGTTCTCTCCAATAGGAACAAGCTTCATAGTGCTTCAAATCCGCGTCAAAATTTCCTCGAATCCTAAGATTCGCTTGCTTCTAGTTCCAGAAACTCAATTTCACTCTTTATTTGCTCAAAGTGCATGTTTTGGCCTAAAACATAAAACATATGAAATTAAGTTGCAATTCAGGCAAAAACAACATAAGAAGTATCCAAAATCCGGCCAAAAAGCCTAGATAAAATTGTATAATCCTAGATTATCACTTACATTTGTTATCCAGTTAATAAACTAAGTCAGTTTTTGCAAGCATCTACAACTCTTCAGTGGCAGGCATGTAAAAGAATCCTACGGTATATCAAAGGCACTATAGATTATGGGTTACATTTCAAGGCAACAAGCACTTTAAGAGTGGAATGCTATGCTGATGCTGATTGAGGCTGCAATATGGAAGATCGGAGGTCCACTAGTGGCTATTGTGTCTATATGGGTCCTAACTTAATACAATAAAGTTCAAGAAAACAAAAGGTTGTTGCACTCTCTTCAACTGAGGCAAAGTACAGGGCTTTAGCTCAAACAACAATAGAAATTGCTTGGCTGTAGAGCATGTTTGAAGAGTTGGGGTTATTGGTTGAAGTCACACCTGTTATTTGGTGTGACAATGTAAGTGCTGTAGCTTTGGTAGCTAATCTAGTTTTCCATGCTAGGACTAAACATATGGAGATTAATGCTCATTATGTTAGGAAGCAAGTCCTAGCCAAAAGGTTAAAAATTCAATATGTGCCCTCCAAGCTCTAGACTGTTGATCTGCTCACAAAAGCCTTACGTGTTGTTCAATTTACTGATTTAAGAAGCAAAATGAATGTAGTTATTGATTGCTTGAAATGTCTTAGTAGCTGCTGTGTTCTTTTAGTGTAGAATGTTCTTAATAGTTGTTGGATGAGCAGATTGATTGCTTGAAACGTTTTAGTGGTTGCTGTGTTAGTGTAGAAAAGATAAATTTTTAGAGTAATGTACAAGTTTTGCTTGAAGATTGGTGCAAAATAGTTGCAAAAAGTTCTCAGAAGTTACTGTGTTGGTACTAAATGCAATAAGTTTCTATTTTAGACTTTAGATTATGAGACTTCAGATTGCGTGTTTCAAACTCAGAGATGACATGACAAGTGCAGGAAGTCTTTATTTCAAGTCTCTAAACTTGAATCTCAGAATCAAAATGTTTTTGGTTTTGACTTTGGTTCAGAATTTTTGTTTTAGTTTAAATTTGTTGCAAATAGAAGTTTAAGCTATGTAGCTGGAAATTGAAGCTTTGTTAATTTAGGTTTTAGAACTTGAGTCTCAGATTTAGAATGTCCTTGGTTCAGATATTTTGTGTTGTAGAATTGCTAAAAGATTTGATGGAAATTGAAGCTTCTGTGTTGTAGACATGACAAGTGCAGGAAGTCTTTATTTTAGGTTTCAGAACTTGAATCTCATAATCAGAATTTTTTTGGTTCAGAATTTTTGTTTCAGTTTAAATTTGTTGCAGATGGAAGTTGAAGTTGTGTAGCTGGAAATTGAAGCTTTGTTAATTTAGGTTTCAAAACTTGAGTCTTAGATTCAGAATGTCCTTAGTTCAAATCTTTTGTGTTATAGAATTGCTAAAAGATTTGCCTGAAATTGAAGTTTTGTTAATTCAGGTTTCAGAGAATCTTAGATTTAGAATGTCCTTGGTTTAGATTTTTTGCTTCAGTTTAAATTTGTTGTAGCTGGAAGTTGAAGCTGTGTAGCTGGAAATTGAAGTTTTTCGACTTAGTTTTCAGTATATATACTGAATGCTCATGAAGGAAGTTGCTGGAAGCAAATGTAATTGTGTAAGGATTTAGAAGAAAACGGGATCAGATCATTATTTGTTAAAACGTCAAGACCAATATGTAATTGTGTAAAACGGTGTAGTTTCACTACAACCGTTTTACCAAATCTCTCCGCTCTTCTCTTAACACAATATAAAAGAGGAGTAAAGTTGTGTATTAACTAGTTCAATCATTCTACTAAATTCACTCAATTTTCATTCCAAATTGTTCTAGAATAATTTCTCACTCAACAGTTCACACCCGAACACAACTTGAGAACCACCTAAGCTTCAATCACCGACGCCACACACTAGCATCAACAAAGGAACCACGTTCTAAAAGCCATTCAAACAAGTAAGGTTTGGCATAAGAGAAATGAACCTTTGAACCTTTGAAGAGAAAAACACTCTAAAGTAATTTCAGAGCACAAAGAAGTATAAAATATCAAAAGTTAGATTAAAAAAATGCAAGAGAAGATATTCTATATAGAGGGTTTCTTGTTCAACAATTTGTGTCAAGTCAGCCAACAAGGGTTGACCCATGTTTGTCCAAATAGGAAAAAGATTCATTCTTTTGGTTTGTACCACAGACAAATCGGGAAAAAACAACTTTATTCCTTAAGAACACAAATGGATATATTGACACTTGTAAAAGGTCCTAAAAAGGTAACAACAAGATAAATAAATATATTTGGTACTTTATCAGAAATGCAAGTCGTGCAAGATTGCAAATATCTAGAGCGAGTGTGCTAGCACAAACTATTGTGCACATACACTCGATATGAAACAAACCAAAACATACGTTTGGCAACCTTTGTGCACACACATAAGTTTGACAAAAATATTCTACAGTATATATATATATATATATATTTGATAACCTGGGTGTCCAAGAGCTTACGCGCATCTCAACTAGTCTTTGAGGTCTATTGAACACCCTATAAGTTCAATAAGTTAGGTAAGTTACAAATGTGATGGGTGACCACTTGTGGGACTCCAACACAAAACTTTTTCTTTTGTTTTCAAATGTTGTGTAATCCTCCAACACAATAAAAGAATATTAGAATTACTACTCTAATCACATTTCCCCTTTCGCTATTCATAAAATAATTTTAATTTTAATTTGAGACCTTAGATTGAATGATCTTATGACTGTAGTTTCTTTCTTAAGGTAAAATAAGTAGTATTTCGGATTTGAATTTCGTGAAAGTTTTAAATTTTAAGTTCAATTGTTCATTGCTTTGGTCAAAATATAACACGCGGACCTCCACCACGCACAAAGGAAATTACGATAGATATTTCGGATAATAAATTCCGAATTCCAACCACCACCACTCCTTTACTTGTTGACTCTTAATCGTGCATTGACTCCTGAAACACGTTGAAGACTGAAGACAAAAAGAAACATGCAGTCACTGACTCTAATTGCTGTATGCACACTGACTAATTACATATTAATTTTGTAAGGAAAAAATGGACGAAAGAACAGTTGAATTTGATCCTCAGCAGCAGTTTGAAGTAAGTACGTGTTTCCTCATGTTAATTCAATTTCAGTCTTCACAAAAAATCTCTCATGTTGTGTGCAATTTGTACTCAGGTGGGAAGGGAAAGAATCAGTGAGGGAATGAAGTGTTTGCAAGATTTAGTACAATGGTGCAACATGATCACAGAGAAGGGTGGAAAGGCTGACGAAACTATCGCCTATGTTCAATCTCTTCAACCACAAGTAGAGGTAGCAACTACTAACACGTTTAATCGTCTTCAATTTTTTTTTTTTAATAGTTTCTTATTTTTTTTTTATATGGTCTATATGATTCTTTAATGTTAATTAATTGGATCTTCTGATCATCACATTAAACAGTTCTTGCATGTCCTATTAAAGAACCCAGCTTTTGTGAATCCCCGAGTTGAGTACAACATCTTTAACAAACAGATGAGGATCAAGCATCAATTTCATCTATAGTTCAATCCATACATAGTTTCTTATTTTTCTCTTTTCCATTAAAATATGAAGGAGACTGAATCTTTAGCGGCATGTCTCTATCTTAGTACCTTCTCTCTAAATCTTATATATATCTATGAAAGAAATTTGAGTCAGAGGTCAGAAAAAATTCTTTCTATAATATAACTAGATCAATATATTGATTACAGTTGTAAGAATTGATTTGGTCATCCTTCAATTTTTATAAGATTCATTCTGTCCCGTTGAGCCTAAATAAATTAGCTTTTTATTGCTTTTAAGGTTGTCTTTGTGTATATGTTGATAGGAAATTACTCAAATCGGAAACCAAAATGCTAATTTTGAGCCTACTCTTAATCAAGACGATGAAATTGTGAATCCAAGTGTGGAGAGCTCATCACGGACTAAAAAAAGAAAGTTGAAGTCAAAATTATGGGATGACTTCACAAAGTACGAAGGAGAAGATGGGAAGGAATTGGCTAAATGTAATCACTGTGAGAAAGAGTTTGTAGGTTCAAGTAAGAGTGGAACCACTCATCTCAAAAATCATTTAGAAAGATGCAAAAGTAAAAGTAGTCCTGGAGGTGCGGATAAATCGATTGAAACAATTGCTTCTCTAACTACTCCAGTTGTTATCTAAGAGAAATCTATGGTTGATCAAGAATTAGGTCATTTGGATGAGACAAGGATGATTATTAAGTACTGGGTTCCATCAGTGGCGTCCAGGAAGGATGATATACTTAAAGTTTACGAAGACGAGAAGGAAAAGCTACTTAGATATTTCAACAAACTCCCGTGTCGTTTTTCTGTAACAATGGAGTGGTGCTGTGAGAACTCAGATAACTTTTGGTTTATAGCTCTCTGTTTTATTGATGATAGTTGGGAATTGAAGAAGAAGATTATTAATTTGCCAAAATATAGATTTGATGAGAATTTCTATGAAATTTTGAAGCGTTCACTGCAGGATTGGAACATAGACAAAAAAATATGTTGTATGATTGATAATACGATTCCATTTTACAATGGAACCAGTGAAGAATTTAATAACTGGTTTAGTGAGCAAAGTCCATAGGCAAGAAAGTAGCTTCTCAAGGTATTCCTGATTTTCAGCTATGGGGCTTCGAACTAATTGAGTGGGTAATGGGATTTAGGGAAGCATTCTGTCAACTGGAGAGTATAGATCCTGATTTTCAGTCAATAAATTTTGTAAGAGAGGATTGGGATAAGGCAACTGCACTATACGACAGTTGGAGAGTGTTAAAAGATGCTAGTCGTAGCTTGTCTGATCGCAAATATAATACTGCAAATGGGTGTTTTCCAATGATGTATCACATATTTTTTAAATTTCTTCATTGGGAAAAAAGTGGTGACTATTATTTTAGTGACATAGCTTCAAGTTTGAGAAAGGATTTTGATGAATATTGGAGAATTTCTAACTTGATTTTAGTGATTACAGTGGTTCTTGATCCGAGATTCAAAATGGATATTGTAGAACGTTGGTACAAGGAGATTTATGGCAATGTTGTAGACACACACCTCAAGTTAGTCACTGATGCTATTGCAAATATTTACAATGAATATGCAGAGCGCGCTAGCAATTCTGAATCATCATCTTCTTGGGGCTGCGGTGAAATGCTAGACGACATGTGGAGGCCATGTATGTCTTCACAACATGTTAATGATGTTGTTTCAACAGAACTCGATCGCTATTTGGGAGATTCTAAATTTTGTCCCGTCCAAGAGTTTGACATATTGGCTTGGTGGCGATTAAACTCCTCCACCTTTCCAACACTTGCGAGGATGGCCTGTGATTTTTTAGCAATACCTATTTCTGCTCCAATTGAAGTTTTAGATTCTCCCTTGGTGACTGAAATTGAAGATATTTTTGACTGTCAAATCCTGGATGATGACTTCAAAGTTGCTTTAGCATGTACAAAAGTTTGGTTGTAAAGCTTTGAAAGTAAACAACTAAGTTGTTGAAAGAGACAACAAAAGTGTTTGTTTGTCTATTTGTTTTTATTTTTGTTTTTTTAATGATCCAAAGTGTCCGGATCGGTCTTCGCGTACCTCAATATTATATTAGTGCAATATATGATAACACTTTTGTTTCACAAACTTCTTCACCTCGTCACAAACTCTATTGAAAAATCCAATCATCATACAATTGAAATCCACTAATTAAAAGAGTTGATGTGTTAGATATTTAAAACTCAAAATCTTATCTTGATTCTATTTATGCTAAAAGATTTAAATTCTTAAGGTAGATTACCAAATGTTGATGATGGATAAGTTAGAATATGATATACTGTTGATTGGCATGCATGTTTGTTTGGTAAATCGAAGAGAAAAAGCCTATTAGAAGATGAAACAGTTGTAATTGTTTCTACAAAATTTTTAAGAAAAGGAAAGTAAAATAAAAGAATGATTGAAAAAGAAACATTAATTACACTGCAAACTACAAGTGAGACTTAAAACTCAGAGAGTTTACAGTTAGCTTATGGTGAACCCATGCATGAATTTATATAAGAAACATTAATTTATAAGAGTCCCATAATTGGGCGCTATCGCAAGAACATCCTTAGTGTTGGTGAAATAAGGATACTTATAGGTTTCAGAAAATGACACCTAAAACTTTCATAATTGAGTAATTGACAGTCAGTGAAAGCTAACAATTTAAAGGGCAAACCCTAAGAGGTTGGCTTGATGGTCAAGGAGGTGTCATCCTTTCTTTGATTTCTTGAGTTCAAATCTTAGGGTCATCTACCTGAATGTATAATTTTGATTTACTCGGTTTATTAGGTTTATAAGATATTTAATAAATTTTGGGGGATTTGTTGAGGTGTGCGTAAGTTGATCTGGACACTTCTGTTATAAAAAAAAATAATAATAATAAAATAACAAAAAAAAATTAAAGGGCATGATTGACTATTTACAAAAGGCATCTCATAATGATATATGTCCGATTGAGATCTGATCTCAAATGAAAGAGGGTCCCATGCAAAGTTAGTGGTTTGTTTCAAACTTTGTCTTCACACTAGTAAAAGTTAATCTTATCTCTATACATATCATGTGACACAGACACAAAATTAAATACTTAAAATCTTATAACTTAATTGGTGATTTAATTGAAATATAAATTTATGATTAAGAATTTATTGTAATCTAACGGATATCAGATAAAAGTTGAGGGAGATTATTTTCATTGTCGTCTCTTCAACTTTTAAAATATTGGATTGTGATGGATCAATGACCATGAATTTGTGTAAAAAATTTAAATTAAAAGATTATGTCCCATATTTAAATATAATGTTACTTATTTTGTTTTATAAATAGATTATAAATCTCTAACAATTATATTAAACTTATTGAGATTTCAGTTTTATATTTCAACTGATATAACTGTAAATTTTAGTTTTAGATTTTAGCTAGACAGAATATCATATAAGAAATTAATTAATTGGTCAAAATAGTGTTTTCATTAATAATAAATCTTACTGTAAGTTGGGTTTTTAATTATATAATAGGTTAATTTTCTAGTAATTGAAAGAATTCTAATGTTGAAAATTTACAACATAGCATAAGTGATATCAATTAAAAAAAAAAATTGATTTTTCTTTTAAGGGGTGATTGATTATATATAATATATATATAATGCTTTAAAAAAAAAAAAAAAAAAAAAAAACATGTGACAATGAAATCCAACCACCAGTCCACTTTTTAACTTTTTGACTGGCAGAGGTTAAACAAAAACAAGGTATATACCGAAGGATTGCTCAAATTTTATCTCTCAAAAACTTACTTATCTCGTGAGGAGAGAGATGGAAGCGATATCCATTGAATCTGATCCTCATCTTTATTTTCAAGTAAGTATTTGTTTTCTCATTCATGTTCAACCTCCACTGCTCCACAAAATTTTATCTGTCTGATGTTTATGTAATTTATGTAGGTGGGAAAGATAAAAATCAGTGAGGGAATGAAGTGTTTGCTAGATTTAGTAGAATGGTACAAGGACAACTTTACCCCAGAAAGTGATGGAAGGGTTAATGAAATCATGGCCTATCTTAAATCCCTTCAACAACAAGTAGTACAGGTAACCTTCTAATTCTAATTCAAGTACGTTTCTTTCAAATTTTAGCCTTTGGGTCCTTAGATTGAGCTAAAATTGTTCAAATCTGAAAAATAAAATGCCAGTATTTCACACAAGTGTTCTTACCTGTTATAGATCAAAATAATAGGAACTAGTCCCCAGGTCATATCTATTAATCACAGGCTTTGACTACAAGTGCACAGCACTGCCAGAGGATGGTCCTGAAAAGAAAATTTCAGTAATGTTTTATATCCTAATCTATTTGTTATACTAAATAACTTTATTATTTAAAATAATATAAATTAAAATGTTAATTGTAATTATAAAAAAAAAAAGATATATAATGCAAATTATTTTTATTGTGTTTACACTAACAATAGTATATTTCCTTTTGTAAAATCTCATTTATAGTATTGAAAAAAAAAAAAAAAAAGCAGAAAATTTAATAGAAGGGGATAAAATATGCTTCTCTGTTTTGGCTGTGAATATCCTGTTTGTCTAATCCGAAATGACATAGTTTTTTTTTTTTTTCCATTAAAATATGGGAAGGAGATTGAATCTTTAGCACAACAAGGAGAAGTACTTGTATCTTCCAATGTCAATGGAACAGATTTGCAACGTGGACAGGTTCTTTTTCTCTCTATCTATATTATATGTATGAAAGAAATTAAAATCAGATAAAACTTATGTAATTTGTTTAGTTTTAGTATAGTTATACATGCCTCAATTAAAAAAGAAAAGCATATATTTAGAAATTTTTGGCCAATGTCTTCATCTTCGCTAGCAAAATATATAAGTTGACTTGGTTGCCTTAAATATGTTTAAGAGATCGAGTCTCTCTCATTGAGCTCAATTTTATTTTCCTTTTATTGCTTATTAAGTGATAGAGTTGTTTGTATTTTAACAGGAAATCACTCAAATAAGAGAACAAAATGTCAATTTTGGACCTACTCTAAATCAAGAGATTGAAATGGTGATGAATCAAAATATAGAGAACACATCAAATGCTAAAAGAAGAAAGTTGAAATCAAAGGTTTGGGAGGACTTCACAAAGTATGAAGGAATAGATAAGAAGGAATGGGCTAAATGTAAACACTGTAAGAAAGACTTTGTAGGTTCAAGTAAGAGTGGAACCACACATCTCAAGAATCATTTAAAAAGTTGCTCAAGTTCAAAGAATCCAGGTAGAGGTGTAGAAAAACCAAAAGAGAAAAGTGTGATAGATCTAAAACTGAATGGTTATGATTTGGTGCTAAAAATTATTAAGTATGGGCTAAACAGCATAAAGAATTATATACTTGATGTTTACAAACAAGAGAAGGATATGCTTTATAGATATTTACGTAAACTCCCATCTCGTTTTAATGTAACAATTGAGAACAAGTCATGCTTATGGTTTCTGACAAGCTGGTTTATCGATGATAGTTGGGAATTGAAAAAGATGATTAGTTTATTGGGAAGATACAGAGATGAAGATGAAGTTGTCTATGAAATTGTGAAGTCTTGGCTTGTGGATTGGAAAATAGACAAGAAATTATGCTCTATGGTAAGAGTTGGATATTTTGATGTATTTGAACGTGAGGAAGTTATTAAGAATATTAACAACTTGGTCAATGAACGAGGTTCACTTCCTTTCATTGGGTATTTTTGGCCAATTTCTCTTTTGTTACATGAATTTGAATGTGTTATCAATTTTCATCAGTTGACAAGAGTTTCGCGAAATAATATTTCAACTAAAGCGTTGAAGCTTTTTTACTATGCCAGCATGTCATCAAATGTAAATAAGTTTCAATATACTGTAAAAGAAGCTTTGTCCATGGGCAAAATAGTAACTTCCAACAGTGTTACTTCATATTCGCGGTTCGACGTTGATATGCTTGAGTGGGTAATGGGATGTAAAGAAGCATTTTGTGAACTGGAGCATATAGATCCTGATTTGAAGTCTATAAATTTTATGAAAGATGATTGGGATGAAGCAACTTTACTGTACAACAGTTGGAAAGTATTAGAAGATTTGAGAAAGGAAGCTCGTAACTTGTTGGATCCTAAACATAAAACCGCAAATGTGTGTTTCCCAATGTTTTGTGACATATATTTGAAATTGGTTCAGTTGGGAAAAAGTGAAAATCATTACTATTGCCACGTTGCATCACGTTTTGGAAAATATTTTGATCAATATTGGGACAAGTCTAACTTGATTTTAGTAATTACAGTAATTTTGGATCCACGATTCAAAACAGATATTGTAAAACAGTTTTACAAAGAGATATATGGTAACGATGTAGATGCATACTTTAAGAAAATCATGGATGATGTTACAAATATTTACAATAAATATGCAGAGGGCACTAACAATTCTAAATCATCATCTCATTCGGGCCATGGTGCTAGTAATTCTTCAATTACTCTATCACAAAAGCTACACATCATAAGGACATCATCTGCCTTTTCTCAACATGTCAATGATACTGCTACACCAGAATCAGAACTCGACTGCTATTTGAGAGATTCTAAGTGTCCTTCAAGTGAAGGGTTTGATATACTAGAATGGTGGCGTGTCAATTCTCCAACTTATCCAATATTAGCTAAAATTACACGTGATTTCTTATCATTACCTATTTATACTCCTCTGTCTGGTTTATATTTTTCATTGTTACATGAAATTATGGATATTTATCGTTGTAGTAATCTTGATGATGACCTCAAATGGCCTTTGGCATGTACAAAAGTTTGGTTGAATAGCAGTGTAATTAAATAATCAAGTTGTCGAATAAATATGTGTTCTCATTTTTTTCCATTTACTTAATTTTGTTGTTTTAATACAAGTAAACATTCAGCTAAAATTAAAACAAGGGATCAACATATTTATATAAAAATAAATGAAAAATTGAGAATATTAAACTTCTCAAATTTTCATCTTTTAACTCATGTCTTTTTATATGTAAGTGAATTTTTCATCCTAGGTCATATATATTCTAATATTATCATTTTGTTTTTCTAATTCACTTACAAAGCCCTTCAAAATCACAGAAGAGTTGGAGCCATTGCAAGAGTAAGTGGTAGAGTCAGGAATTCAGTTGAGAAGAGGCAAGATCAAATAATGCTATCGTTTAAAACTTTCAACTTAAAATTATTTATCATCACTCTTTTATTAAAAAAAAAAAAAAAAAAAAGTCAATTCACAATTAAATTTAAAATTTTCAGGGTTTTACTTCCCATAATTTTTTTTTTTTTTAAAAGATGAAAATTTAGTGTACAAATTAAAAATTTTAAAAAATAAATTTTATTGGCTCATATACCCCTTGGCATTTTTTGCTTTGAAAATAAATTCTAAATTAATTAAGGGCATAAGAAAACAAATAAAAAGAGAGCATTTCATAGACTCGACTTTGAGATTTGAACAAATACAATAAAATCTCTATATAGTCATAATAGTGGGATTAAATTAATTTATTATTATAAGGAGATTATAAATTAATAGAAGTGTATTTACAAAAATTATTGTTCTGATTTCTTATTTTATAATTTACATTTTAGTAGTATGTATTAAGATATCAATTTATTGTTTTAGTAGTATTAAGATTTATTATTTAGTTTTAATATTACTTTATTTCTTATTTTATAATTCATGTTTTAAATAAATATTTAATTCATCTTAAACATTTAATGGAACATAACATATATATTTTTTGTAATATACATATAATTATTATTATGTGTAGACAACTTTCTTAAGATAAAATTAGAAAAATTATAACTTATTACAATAAAAAGTTTATTTTTATTTATAATTATTCCAAATTGGGATTAGAATTTTTTATGATTACATAGAGGTTATTCATAAATAAAATATCACTATAAAGAGGTTTTATTATACGTAGAAGAAGAAGTTCAAAAAATATGTACATACCATTTCCACCTAATGCATATGCTTCTTGGCTCAACTTCTTTTACCGTCTTATAATCATGATGAAGGTGGTCAGGTTAACACACCGTTTGGGAAAATAAAAATTTACTATTTGATTTGTGACTGTTTTAGTGAAGGAATTTTTAGATGGGTTATGGGTTGTTTCATGGTGTGAGAATATGGATTGAATCAGTAAGATTAATTCTGAAGTGTGAAGCGGCTAGATGAATGGCCACACTTGGAGCGGCTGACCAGGCCAGTCTAGGCCAAATCGGCGGCAGGCCGATCTGGTCACCCCATGGTTAAGCTTTTATTTTTTATTTTGAATTATTTTCTTTAGTTTGAAGTTCTATTATAATTAGTTATATTTTCTATTTCTATTTGTTAATTTTGTTGGTTTTTTCTTATTTTTATGTTTATGTTTTGTTATGCCTGGGAAATCAGGGGCTGACATGGGAAATCACGTGATGAAGTGTGACCTGCTCCCGTCAAAATGGTAAGCGCACGTCAGACCTGCAAGACGTTGTGGAGCTCCCACGTGTCCACTCCCTACTCCAAATCGCGTGAAATCAGCTTGAAAGGGGGGTAATGTGACATAAAGCCAAATTTAGTTCTGACATTCACACCAACCCATGGATTTAATGATGATTACTTGCATTTATCTCGCTATAAGAAGAGGAAGACCCTTCATTAAGGGGATTCGGCTATTTTTGCACTCTGAACTAACTCTCTCTCTCTCTCTCTCTCTATCTCTCTTGTAAACTTTGTATTTATTTTTCCCTAATCATTTGTAAGTCAGTCCGCTGTTGCGACCTGACCCATAATACTAATACAAATCAGTGGACGTAGGACTTGCTACCTTAGCATCCGAACCACTTTAAAAAACTCTCATTGCATTTATTCTACATTATATCCATAATCACGTGTGTCTCTTGACCAATCAACGTTACGCACATGTTGATTAGTTGGTGTTAAAATCACGCATCAACAGTTTGGCGCTAGAAGGAGGGGCCATATTTAGTGTTCATCCTTCATCAGGAGAATCTCTAACCTACTAGTCCTACAGCAGCAAATGGCCCACCAATCTGAACCTGAGCAAGCCAACCAGCGCGCTGAGGGAGTCCCCCTGACCCAAGGGGATACCTCTTCCAGAATACTTCCAGTTTCGCAAAATGCTGCGGTAGATATCCCAGCAGCTTCGCAGCTTGACCCTGTCATCAGAAGCTACCTGGAGAGGTTCGACAACACCCTCCAGACGGTCAACCAAAGGCTGGACCGTTTAGACCAAGGCGTACCATCCAGAACAGTTGGGGCGGTGCAACCGCCAAAAATGCCTGCAGGTCGCACGAAAGCGCGGCAAAGGGAAATAGCCTGTGCTGCGAGCACTGCAGCGCGTAGACGTAAGGATAAGCAAGTGGCAAAAAGCAAGCCTACGGGCTCCAAAGGGCCAGCGAACACAAACCATGCCCCAAGCAGGGTGCCGACAAAGCTGAGACTCGACAAAAAAAGTGAATCCTGAGCTGTCCCACGCCACGTCACAGATGAACCCAAGCAAAAGTGCTGAGCGGGACGATTCTTATCACCGCTAGCAGAGCGATCCTGATCGCTATCATGTGAGTGGTCCCCACACCTCGCGGGGTGGTTCATACCACCGCGAGGGTCGTGAAAATACCCTGTACCATCCATCGCCTTCACACACCTCTAGTCAGCGTGTGCCAAGAGCGGTCGAAAATGCCGACCGAGGCAAAGAGGAGTCTGACCTCCGGACTTTCCTGAACCGTAATCGAGAAGGCCGGACTCGCATAGGTGAAAGCAATCCCCAATTGGCTCTGTTACCACAAATTGAGGAGCTACAGCGAGCTCTGGACAGGCTGAGAGAGCAACAAAATAAGCAGGCCCAGGTCGCCTCTGCATCCCCCTTCTCTCCCGAAGTGCTAGCTGCTCCACTCCCACCAGGGTTCAGAATGCCCGACATGTGGCCGTTTGATGGGAACCATGACCCGCAGGATCATTTGTATGAGTTCAACGACCTGATGGAGCTCCACCAGGTTTCAGATCTTGCAAAATGCCGTTGTTTGGCTGTGACGCTGACTTCTCATGCCAAGCGGTGGCTAAGGTTGCTCCCAGCGAGATCGATCAGTTCACGGCCTCAGATGAGCACGACGTTCCTATGACATTTCCAAGCAAATAGGAAGTTTTCGATGCCTTTGAGCTATCTCAGCAACATAAGACAAGAAAGGGACGAATCCCTACAATCCTACATCGACCGTTTCCATAGGGAACTCAACAAGGTGGCTCATGCCCTCGAAGAGTCCATCCGAACGGTCATAATAGTTGGAGTTCGCCCGCAAACCGACCTGTGGAAAGAATTACAGGCTAAGGACGATGTTTCCCTCACCAGATTTTACAACCTTGTAGAAAAATATCTCCGAATAGAGAATTCATTGGCGGCACTCCGCCATCGCGATCACGGCACTTCAAGTAGTATGTCTGGTCGGGGAGAAAGTAGGAGAGCTGATCGCAAAGGAGACATTAATGATCAGCGAAAAGGGAAGAAACCCTACTACGAGCACAAAAAGTCCTATGCTCCTGTTCCTCGTCGCGACCGTGACAGAATTCAATACACTCCGCTGAATGTGTCCATATCTGCAATTCTTGACAAATCCGAGGAGACCAGCCTGCTTGGTGAGACAGAACCCATGAAAACCCCTGCTACGGCCAGAAACAGCAAAAAGTATTGTCGTTTCCATCGGGACAATGGGCATCACACTGATGAATGCCGAGCTCTAAAGCAGGCAATCGAAGAGCTCATCAAGAAAGGGCACTTCAAGGAGTATATTGATGACTCTGCTCCAAAAGAGAACCAAGAGGAGCGAAAGAAAAAGCATCGTGATCGCAGTGGATACAGTAGTGTTAACATAATCTTCGGAGGCCCGCACCTCGCGGGAAACAAGCAAGGCGCGCAGGAAAGGTATGCTCGCGAAGCATATCAAGACCCGATCAGGTTAATGAACACATCGCAGCGACCACAAAAGGCTCGAAAGGAGGAGCCGATCACCTTCTGCGAAAAGGAAGCAGCTCGCCTGCACCATCCTCACGACGACGCCCTGGTGATCACGCCCCTTATAGGGTGCTATAACGTCTGCAGAATGCTTGTAGACAACGGAAGCACTGTGAACATCCTGTTCCAAACCGCTTTTGAAAGAATGAACCTGGACGAGGCCGACCTGAAGCCCGCCTCAACCCCCCTCTATGGCTTTACAGGAGACCACCTGATCCCCAAAGGAACAATCTAGCTTCCAGTCACGCTCGGTGACTACGACGAGGTAACTAGGCTTACTGAATTCTTGGTCGTGGATTGCCCATCAGCCTTCAATGGAATCTTGGGGCGACCTCTGTTGAGAAACTTCAAGGCAGTCACTTCCATATATCACCTCAAGATGAAGTTTCCCACCCCAATAGGGATAGGGGAAGTGAGCGGATCGCAAAGCGCATCTCGCAACTGCTACGTAAGAGCGGTGTAGATGGCAAGTAAAGGAAAGGGCGTTCCGGAAGTGCGCCCCGACAGGCTATGGCGATCAGCAGGATCGAGCCGCAGCCTGGCCTAGTAGAGGATAATTTGGATCCTCAAATTCAGGAGATCCCTTCCAACGGCCCAGTTAGGACTTGTCTGAAGTGTCAGTCGACCCGAAAGAGCCAAGCCGGATACTAAGGGTTAGGAGCATCCTCAACCCTCAGCTTGCGTCCGAACTGATAAGCTTCTTAAGAGAAAACATTAACGTGTTTGCCTGGTCGCATGCAGATATGGTCGGGATTAGCCCGGACGTTATTTGCCATGCATTAAACGTCGA